ACCAGCCAAGTTGGAGCCAGCCGATTAAAATCGGGCATCCAGGGACAGGTAATACAACAACCCCAGCAGCACCTGATTTAGCTGCTGGCATTGGGGTTGTTTCTGTTTCGATTGCCAAGCTCCTTCAACAGTTTTGAAACCAGAAATATGGTGAAGCATATCTGGCAGGTGCGCAATCGTTGCTGTCCAACCCCTTCGGCCGCGTGATTATGTTGCTTTGTGTTGCTAGATGACATCCATGCATACATATCTGGATGGCCATATTGCGATCCTCCATTCCTGAGGGCCCCACAAGGAGTTCAAGAGGCTGATGCATCTGCTGATCGCCCCCTTGTTGGGTGCGTTCTGAAATTGACAACACGTATAAAGGGTCCTGGGACCCTACACGTTGTGTGCCATGGGGCCGGGCTGCAGCCTCCATACACAATAGAAAACAGAACTCTGGAGCCATTGAGGTTCAGGCATCAAGGTGAGGATCACCTCAGCGTGTTCAGGTCAGGCATACCTTCCCATCCTATTGTGTTCATGCTGTGTGAACAGCTTGCGTGCCCACATGCAGCTGACGGTACTGATGCCTTTGTGGCATCTCGTGCCTACTTCATGAGAAGATCAGGAAACACTGGGGACTGGTGTTTCAAATGTGCATGTTTCCGACAATGCTCAACACCAGGCACTTACTCCTTGGTTCCAAGCCTTGCACACCTTGCACTCTTTCTAGTTACTGGGGGCTGGCACACGACTGTGTTGCAATTTCACAGTGTACAACTTTGCTGGTGTTTGGTGAGGTGCTCCTTCAACATGTTTTGATACAGATCCCAAGTGCGCCCAGATGCACTTGCGTGTAGAAGGTCCAAGTGTATTCAATACATGTCACAGCCTGTTATGATGCACAAGCCACCATCGCTGTTGCCATGACGCCAAAACTTCAGTAAACAACAGAAATGGTGATCCACAGATTCTCCCTGGAGCCTGGTTTGTGACTACGACTGAAAGTGTCCGTACAAGGTGTTATCTTGCTCAGGTGTAGAACAACATTGTAGTGTCTCAGTTTTGAGACAAAGACAAGGCATGTTGTACTGATCGATTGCATGTGGTTTCATAGTTGGTGCCAGCTGGCACATGCTGCCACCCCTTTCTGCTCGTGGTTGGATCCTGCCAAGACTTATAGATGCTTCGAAGCAAGTGGAAATCCAGGGTGTCAGTGATGCTGGCAATCTCCCCATATGTGGTTACTCTTTAGATGAGGATGCAGACCTCCCTCCGATGTCCATGAGCGAGGGATACCTGATGGTGGAAGGGAGGCCTTCAAGTCAGCAGAAGCTCCCGCTCTTCCAAGGCTATGCCCTTGTTGAGGTCAGCACACTCTAGAAACTCCCGCCTGGACCTTGCCTGCCAGCAACTGCTGATGCACATGGCAACTGCTGATGCACATGTAGGAATCTGTATCAACACCATGCCATTCAATTTTCAAATGTGGACAATACTTTGCAGGGGACTGCTGCCAGTGCTTGTGAATGGCACAAACACTGCCTGACAGATGAAAGATCAGTAATTTACCATGTTTGCAAATGTGCTCATAAAGACAGGACTTGCTGAAGTTAAATGCTTGATGAGGTCGATGAGAAAACGTCTCGATCATTGGCCTTGACCAATGTGTGCTGATACCTCCAATTGTTTGGCATAATGCAGCAAGTTTTCTATCATGTTGAACCTGCCAATATTGTTGCCGAAAGGTTACCTGTTCCTGAAGAGGTTCAGCAATGCCCTATTGCAGAATTGGCCGCTTTGGTTGCACAGGTTGTCGATGAGGATGATATTGCTTCAGGAGGCATCAGCGCTGCCTCTGTTGCGAATCTCCTCACCAGTGTCAGCACGTGGGGAAGACGTAGGCTTGTTCGTGTTCATCCGTATCATCCCGCCAGCTGTCTTCAAAACTCCAAAATGGTTGGCCTTGGCCTCAACGACGAAAGCCCTTTCAACAAGGCATACAACGTGGTAGTGGGCATGAATGGGCTCATGATATCTTTGGTGGATCATCGCCCACAAGAGGTCCTTACCCTGAGTTTCGATGGCGTCTGCATCGAGGCTGCTACTGGAGTTGGTATGTGTGGCATTTGTTCCCCTTGTTGGTCAGATCTCGATTGCAATATCACTGGAACAGTTACGAAACTGGCAGACATGCACCACCAGAAAGTTGGTTGCTTTATGCTGATAGCGATACCAATGGACTGTCCAATACTCCGTGCTGTGAAGAATCCAAGTGCAACACGGACCAGGAGTTGCCAAACCTGCACCGGGCTGGATTCCGTCAGTCCATTTCCTTGGTTGCTGGTGGCAGTGAATTGTTTGAGGAGAGCCCACTGGCCTTATGAACGTGTGTCTCACAAGAAATAGAATTAACAGCTTGCCCACATCCTGTTAGAATAAGGGCCTGCGGCTCCATGTTTAGACCAAGCACTTCATGTTCCTACAAAATTTGTCCAAATGTATTGCTGCATGGCATGTGTTGTTAGAAAGCTGAACGCAAATCCTCTTCCAACAAGTCGATGGCGGCAAGCACATTTGCACACATGGGAGAGCCTCACTAAGCAGTGGGTTTGCTATCACAGGGAGCCGGGGCCGTTTTTCGCAAGTTCGGCTGAAGGTGAATGCTGTCCAGCTAGACGACCAACTGCCAGGCACTGCCAGTCCTGTGGTTTTGTCCAATTGGAATAAGGATGCCAAAAAGGGTGGTGAAGAGCCTCCGATATTGAATTTGATGTTCGTCAAGGAGCTTGGTCGTCGCCATGGAAGAATCCACTTTCCCACAATGTGCATAAAGATTGGTGGTTTTCAAGTCAACCTGCATGAACGTCTGATCTGGAAGGTCTTGGATATGTTCCAACTCCTTTGGTATGACAGAAGGGAGAAATTTGAAGGGACTGGCGAACAGGTGATATGCCTTGCTTCAGATGTTGCCCCTTTGGAAGCTTGCTTGTCAGCACCAAGTCCCGTTTGATTTCATTTGGTTGTGCACAGACAAGACAATACCCTTAGATATCAGGCGATGTCAGGCAAATGCCATGTGCTAGCATCCATCGTAATGTAAGGTACCCTGGATATGATGAAACTGACCCAGATGTGGGCGTTAACTGTTGATTCTTACTCATTTGTGTACTTTCCTTGTAGCTGAGTTCCGACTTGGATCTGGAGATCGACTTGCTGTCGGTTGCGGATTTCTGGATCAAGGCAAGTCTGACAATGGATCCACTAAGCCGCCCAAGATATGCAGCTGCACGCATTCTGTCCCTGGGCCTGGAATTTGCAAATGTGGAGGATGTCGAATTTCTCATGCGTGGATTTGAAAAGGAGCGACTGACCATGGCACAGTCCGTGTTTGTGAATCAAATCCTTGTTCATTTGCGGGACCAGTTCTGGCGGATAATGAGGGGACTTCTGGAGTACTACTTCAGTGTCGGTGGTGCTTCAAAGGTACAGGTTCATGCGTGTGTGAGCTTTGGAACATCAGAATTTTGCATAAATGCAGAAATTTTTACCTGCCGGTGCCCTAAACACAGAATTTGTAAGCAAATGTTCCTGCCCAAAGTTAAGGTTTGCACTAGCGTGGAAGCTGCCATCATACTCTTGTACTGTTTGGTATATTTTGATGGGTTGCTTGCCCGCTCCCCTGCCAATCTGGGTTGCATTGTACCTGAAAGAAGAACTTGTGACAACGAGGTTGTTGGTGATTGTTGTTGACACACACTAGCAACATTGCCATGTTGGTGGTTGGCATTCGCATTCCAGCATAATCCAGCAGGGTGCACACTGTGGTGTGCATGTATTGCCCTTCAACTGGCATCAGCATGCTCGTTGCTTGCTGATTCATAAACCTGTAATCAGCATATCTATCATGCACCTTGGTGTGTGTGGCGATGCCTGTCCATTTTTTCTTGTGCAGATGTTCACACATGCTTGGCAGTGGTTTCCCACATCAAAAGCTGTGGTAGTTGGATAATCTGTGAAACGCTTTTGAGCAAGACTGTTTTGCACTTCAAGGGGTTGGCGGCGATGGGAAGAGTTTTAAAGACTGTTACCGGGGTTGAGGATGTGAAAGAAAGTGCAAAGGTTCAGTCGAGCCCATCAAAGATTGGCACATTCCATGAAGGCTTGTTGGGTGGTGGGGAAGCATTGGCAAAAGGCGTCATCAAGGGTGCAGCAGGCATTGTTTCAAAACCTGTCCAGGGTGCTAAGGAGCACGGTGTGGGTGGTTTTATGAAAGGAGTGGGCAAGGTAGGTTTGATGCTCACTGCATGCTATGGCACAAATTCTGTACAGCATATTGCATGCAGATTGTGGGTGGCGATTGGCGCCTGTGTTAAGTACCTTTGTTGTAGCCAGGTTGAGGTTGTTGTGTGGTGTCTTCAATCAACTGGAGCAGCATTGATATTGCACTTGGTGGGTAAAAACACCTGCACCTCAGGGTTTCGCTGCTTGTGTGGGCATGTCATGAACGTATGGCTGATTGCGGTGGTTGTGTGATAGACAATTGACTCAACATTTTGCCACTGTTGATGACTGGGATGTCAGTTGCCCAGAAATGTAAAGGTGTGCTGTCTCAGAGAATAAGAGGAATGACGTTTGAAAATTGGCTGCTTTGTTGTGGCTGCAGGGCCTGTTGGGTGCTGCTGTAAACCCCGTCAGTGGTGTCTTCGAGGCAGCCTCAAAGATTGCTGAGGGCATTGATGTCCTAGCAGATGATATCAAAATCTCACTGACAGGAAACAGTGCCCAGGGGTATCTGCAGCGCAGACTTCCATTGTGCATTGGTGGTGACAGGGTGTTGCGGCCATTTGACAGGGTGAGAAAATTCCAGCCTTTCAGGAGTGTGCAACAAAATAGCATTTGCGTGAGAGTTCTCCTTTGTCTGGATCTTGCACCACGTATGTTGTTTTGCGGTTTATTCTCATGTCTCACCGTCTGTTGTCGTTCCACAGGAGACTGCCGCAGGCCAAGCCCTGATGTATGTCGCTTTGTGGCACGGTGGGCGTCGATCTCGTCGTGCAACCAAATATGACGATGAGGCTTACGGGGGGCACGAGCTGCTCCTTGATGCAAATGTACTGCTGTGGACAAACAAGAGGCTGATGCTCATCAACATTCCAGGTGATGTGCCATTCGGTGTTTGTTGCATGATGCTGTTCTTGCATGCCTTGTGAGCATGTGGTTGGCACTATTTTCCTGCTGCTTTCTTTGAGGGATGGCATGCTGGTCAGATCCTCCTCGTAGGTACTCCAAAGCGAGCCAGTGTGTAGTGCTGTCTGTAATGACCATTAGAAAGGCCCACCAACTGTTGTCAATTGGTAGTTCGCAGCAAAACTGAAGCGCAGTCGGTGTCCAGGTGTGGCTGAATGGCTTCGGCATGTGGCTGCGGGCTCATCACCTGCCCACATCCCTGACTTGACCCTGATTTGGGACATCGAATGGAACAACCTGCTGGCTATCAATTTGCTCAGAGCTATGCAAGGAGACAGCACGCCTGCACTTCTTGTCTACAGCAGGGCGAAGCAAATCACTTTTCCGAACTTCCTCCGTGCCATCAGATGTCCCGCAAACGAGGTAAGGAGGAGCACTGCATTTGCCCCAGTTGTGTGGTTGTATGACTGTGAAGACACATGATTGGGATATGCAATTGCCTGTGTTGTGTGTGGCATGTTGCCATGTTCGATTGCCCTACGGTTGCATGAACGTTGGCTAAGACAAGATTTGCGTACTTTGCATATGACAATAGCAATCATAGTTGCAAGTCAATTCCTTGAACATTCCACGCTGAAGGCTGTTGAGCTAAATATCAGTGGTCCCATGTCTTTAGCGCCTGTCCAAACCAGACCATGGTGTGTTGTCCACATGCCTTTCTCCTTGCGCTGATATGTCATGTTGGCCACCTACAGATATGGATGCTGAGGCAGAAAATATGGGAGACCCACCAACGGTATGTGGTTTTCAGCCCACGGATGTTGGCATATACGCGAAGTGTGAGCTGCAACAACATCGCTGGGTCATCGTCACCACCTGCGCTGTTGTCAGCAGATTTCCGGTGGATGTGGCGAAGCGAAGGAAAGGGGAGAGCAGTGTCTGTGTGGAGACCATTGGGGCCACCAGGTGTGCAATGCTGCACTTGTATGTGCCAATTCAACAGACAATTGCTGCATTTCCAAAGCATCCAGAATCGGAATGTCATTCTTGGGGTACTTGGGCTGTGTCTTTCGGACTGTCATCAGCAAATGATTTAAGGACCACATGGAATCCCGTATAGGTACCACACAGAATCGCCCTTCCCAGACAATATGCTTGCACGCTTCCATCCGATGGGAATCAGGAGGCCCTTTCTGGACTTCAAAGTCAATGGCTAGTTGCAAGGAAATTGCACAATAGGCATATACTGTACATAATACTTTATTAAAGTTAACAAGTTTGCCTGCATGGACATCACGTGCAATCGCTGCACTCATTCACACTCACCATTTGCTTTGCATTTGGGCATTAACAAACAGAAGAATTACACCAAATGGAGCAGAGAACATGCCAAAATCCAACACCGCCACATCTGTAACTTCCACGACACGATGGCCACTGCCACTGATTGTTGCAGCAGCACTCTTGATATTCTTACTTCTTCAAGTATTTCTTTTGCGCATTTTCGATCCCATATTGACAGCATGAACCAACTGGAATATGAAGGCTAAACTAGCCATACAGTCACACAGCAGGGCCTATATCAGGCACGAGGTGCGCGCTGAGCGTGCTGAGCGTTTCTGAGGCAGGTGCCAGGAAACACAGGGTTCAGATAGCACAGCATTTAAGCGTGCTACAAACCACTGGATGTAATGCTGTGTTGGCGTGGCTGGTTTATTCCACGAGGTTTGGAAATCAACGAGTTGTTAGGAGCCATTTGCTTCAGTGTGTTGAGGCTCACTAGGGTTGGTTCAGCCAATGTGATGGGGTGCACAGCGTGACTAGTGCTTTCCTCTAACCAGCAACCCAGGACCACATGTATTGAGGGCAAAACTCCTTTGTCAGACTCATGAAGAGTGCCCTGAGATGTGCGAGTGTCGACTATTGGTGAGGCAGTTTGCTTGCCCATTCAGGGTACGTTGCCCTTGGGGACGTGGCCGTCATTGGTTCAGCCGACCCTTCATCGCCTGTGGCCATGCTTCTGGACGACTCAAACACAGCAACTGCAGATGGACGGCGGTCAAGGGTTGCTGCTCCGCTGGGCTTCCATATCATTTTTCGGTCCACCCATCATAGTTTGACAGTTTGGGAGCCGATTCCTCCAGATGGATACTGCGCCATGGGCTGCATGGTGGTTTCCGGCATTGAGACTCCACCCATCGGCATTGTGCGGTGTCTTAGAAGGGACTTGGTGATGTGCACGCAATTCTTTGATGCAGCACTGTGGAAGGGCCAGAGTAGCGACATTGATACGATGGTCAGCAGCTTCTGGCTGAAAGATCAAAACCCTCTGTCGACATTTTGGGCTGTCCGCGGAGTGGATCGCCCACATAGTTCACTCTCTCTTGTGCCGAAACCGGAGGCTGTAAGAAGTGATGCCTGTTAATGTTCAGTTGCATTTTGGCTTGGACTTCAGTGAGGTATGGAATACGATAAGTTGACGATATCCTGCCACCACTTGGACGGAATGCCCGTGCTAACCATACAGAGCCGGCAAAACGGGTCGCAGGATCAGTAGGCTAGACACTCAAGCCCTCCTGCGGGCGTCGGAGCAGGTGTGCCTCGTCATTGACGCAGACAAGTGTAGATCTTGAGCCAAAATGCAAAAAATGAATATCACTGGCGGAAAAAAAAAAGAAAATTCATTGGTGATTGTGCGTTGACATTCCGCCACTCGTGTCTACGGAAATGGTCTTAATGCAGGGTTTGGGTCCCGTAGGGAATGTACAGGCACAGCGTAGTAGTGGATCGCCGATGAGAACTACCAATGCGAATTTTCAGATTGCTATGAAGCTGAGGTTGATACAATACTGTAGTTGCAGTGCCATTGGTGCAATGCCGAGTAACGCTGCAGCAAAGTCCCCATATCCTTCAGAAGTATCAATATGGGTAAGCGTGGACGTGGGTGCCAGAAATTGCCCCAATATGTCAATGATAGAGTGTTAAATACTAATGCACAGATGTCTGCTAAACAATAGCAATGAAGCCAAAATATCGCATTCATATTCGATCTTATTCCAGATTGTGAATTTCCTAGAATCCAACGTGTCTACAAACGATTCCGGATGAAGATCGTGGATCGTCGATCCCTCCAGTCCAAACCACTTCTGCTTCTGCTCGGAATGGAAAGTTCGTAGGTAAGAAGTCCCGTGTCTTGCATAGGGGGGTGGGGCCGGCCCAAGGGGCAGATCCAGGATGTTTGATGGGATATGCAGCTGCCTCATATCTTAGATATGGAATAGGGTATGTGTGGGCCTCGTGGACTGCATATCGAATTTGATGTCGGCGCCAAATCCCGAATGTGCATATCCAGGATATGGTCATGTTGTGGAGATATAGACGACCATACTCATGTGCATCAAGGATATTCAACGGTTTTCCCAACTTTGAAGGAAAAGCCAGCCCCAAAGATGCTCCATTTTGCCCACTTGGGCGAAGTGATACATTAGGATCATTGCAGCGACATCAGTTCGTAAACGGGTTTTAGCACTTCGCGATGCGTTGAAAGATCCAGCTAGGTGGCTTCCACGTAGCAGAGGTGCTACCTATTTATAGCAAAGCTGAAAATGTAGGCTACTGACGGAGCTAGTCGAAAGCCAAGGATGTAGCATTGGCTTGGCTCTTCGCCACATACAAAATTGAAAGACTGGAGAATCCGTACGCCAGTGGTTTTGAGCCAACAGTTTTCAAATGACTGGTTGAATGTGTTCTGAACTGGAGGGCTTGTTCTAAAAGCCACTGCTCGGAATCAATCGGGCTCAAATGCAGTATTTAGAAATTTTGGGTGTTCGCAAAGCACTCATGGATTTCGGGTTGTGTCATGGGCGCAAGGCAAGACACGGTAGTGGCCGAGGGGAGAAGCCTAAACAATCCTCTATTCTCAACTTCTCGCAGGCTCGCCGCTTTCAAGGGTGTCAAAGTCAGTGACGCTCTTTGAAAGCCTTGCATTTGCAAGGACTCAAGATAGAAGGAGACAAGACAAAAGGGGGGACTACAAAGGTCACACCAAAAGACACCTCAGAGGCAAATTGAAATCGCGTGCCATCAAGCGTCTCCCTTGGCAGAAGCCGATCAATGAGGTAAAGTATCACAACAACACCTGCATCTGCTGAATGTAGGCTTTCGCATCGAAAGTCACTGATCAGTATATCACCATTGATTAATCTGGCCATGTCAAATATTGTATCACGATTGAGACGGGAACCCCTCTCCTCATACACATTTGCTCCCAGGCAAAGGAAGCAAAACCGTAACCGTATTAATTACAGGACGAGTACCACCAGTCAATTCACATTCACAGCAGATGTTCTCTCTGGGTAATCGCCGTAGCTCCATGTCAATTTCGCCACATTCCAGTTGAATGTGGTGAATGATTGAATAATCAACATCACATTCACCATATCCGCACGTTATTTAATAACACATTATTCATAACTGCTCATGTGCTTTTCTCGTCCTCACTATGATGGAATCTGGTTCCACAGTTTGCCGGAATACTTTTTGCTCTAGCTCCAAAATATTGAATGTTGGTGTGGGCGGTAAGGCACTACATTTGAGAATGCTTGAAATCACAAGTTAGACATTGCAAGCACACCTCAAATACGGAATGATGGGGACACTGCATGCGAGAACAATAGTCAAGGGTGTACCGACCACAAATCGAAGTTCCCGGGATAGAAAGATTAACATTCAGGGCAGAGCCGGCAGTCTGTTGAGTCAGTTTTATATTGACGACAAAATACTGAATGTGAACTTGAATCGAGTTGAGGTCTGTGCAAATAGCCTCATGTCACTGCTTTCCGGGACGAACAGCAACACTTCACAGGCCCACATCAACTTTTTCTCTCTGTCAAAAAGATACGGACAGACACGGTTCGGCAGAAGCATACTATAGTGGCTCCGGAGCCTATCTGTGGATAATCTATTTCAAAACATAGCCAGTCTTTTGCTGAGGATCACAGCATATCGACTTTTCAAATGTGAGGGATGTTGCTGCTGACTGTGACATTTGGACCTCATCGTGTTGAAGGCACACATTCGTCCCTGTTCGTATTTTAATATCATTGTCATAAATATCGCAACAGTTCGCCGGATACAACAGAAAGTCTCCATTCATTGACTTCAGGGTTGTTGCAAAATATTCAGGTTGCCGCGTGGCTACACAACAGCGGATACGGGTCGATTTGCTTGCCGTGGTGCCAGCATATTGCATTAAACAGCATCATCCCGAATGCTTCACCACATGAAACAATACAATGTAATACCAGGTCCGACCAGAAGAGTTCGCCTTTATGATGGGACAATGTGACCAACATGATGCAAGCTGTATGGCAATGGCTGAATGCACACAATTAGCACAAAATCGCCAAACTCTACAAAGACATGGTACTGTCACCATTTCAGCGTTCTAATACTTCTACAAACTGCTCGACCACGTGTGCGTGTGCAATGCACAACAACAGAGAAGTCCTTTCTCTTGTACCGACATGCAGTGAAGCGATGGCGCTTCGTGATAGATTCAGTTGTGAGCATCCACAGAATTAACCTGCTGATTAAAATCAATAAAACACAGGAGAGCTACTGAACCGGGCAGAACCACATTCTGCGTTTTGAAACAATCTCGTCATCCTCTGACCGCCTTCGGAACAATTGAAGGTCCAGATCAAAACCCGCAACAACAGGACGATGATCAGATATTTTCACTGAGGGAATGCTCGTGTAGTAGCGCAGTGATAGAGCACCGGGGTCGCAGCCCGCTGGAATCCTCCACAGGATACGATCTGTCCATGATGGGATGCGCAGTTTCGTCGACGTGTCGTAAGTGTCCGTGTTCTTGTCGAATTTGTAGGTCGGTGGAAACGCAATTTCTCCTTCCTTGAATCCCTACAATGGGCGTTGAATGAATGGTTTAGCTTTGTGCATAAATCGCATTTCTTCGCCAAAGATAAAGCACACAGCAACAGCAACTGATTATCTCCACAGCACATCGCATATGGGCGCATATAATTTCCATGTGATTGCTTTGGATTCCATGTGTTGTATTCTGCATGTGGGTGTGAAAATTTACAGTATCATTTGTAATTCAAGTTCATACCATGGCTCAATGATTAGTATACTTCCCTCAAGGGCAAATTTGATGCGCCTTCTGTGTGTGGGCTTTCCGATCTGTCCATTGAATGCCATAATGTGATTGCCCAAATGTCGTGGGGAGCAGGGCGCTTACATGAAAAACGCGTCCCCTCTTCATTTCTCTTGCCAGCTGGTCATTTGCATGGAGAACTTCATACATTCCTTCACGGAGCACGCGGTCCACAGCCCTCCTGTTGCCATTTACTCTGTCTTGAGCCAAAAGTCCACAGAAGCAGTAAACGTGATGAAATTTGGGGATCAAAGATAATGGAGTAGCAATTGCCAAAATTCGTGGTCCTCTTGGCCTCAAACAAAGATATTTAAAAGAATTGGAGCGAGCAAAGAAAGGGAAAGGATGCATTTACTCAGCAGTCAATACTGCCGATTTTTTGTCTGTTGCATAAATTGTCCAGATGTTGTTTGCATCATTTATGAGAAAAGTCACCATATGGAGGCCATCAGATGGCTCCACGGAGAACAAGTACAGTGCGTACCCTGTAAATTACAATGTCGCGCATTCCTCTGGTAGTTACCTCAACTTTTGAAAAATAGCCATTCATTGCTTTTGATCGAACTCGGCGGTGGCATCGTCAAGAGCTGCAGGTTGTGCGGCATACTTCACGCAATCTGTGGAATGTGAGATATACATGCGGAAAATTGTACCTCGGAGTCTGCATTTCTTCAGTGCCTGACCTTCCTTACCGGTAGTTCATGTCCCCTACCCATATGCAGACGTCATGCTTCGTCGTTGCGTCATTTGCTCGTGGCTGCGCAACCCTAGCACAGAATCTTCTGTAAGGCAACTATTTCGTTGTGTAAGCATATAGCATTTCGGGAACCAATTCACAACACCTTATGAGTTAACTTTATTGCAAATATGTTGAAAACATATTCTAGTGCACATCATTGCTATGCATACATATGAAACATATTCGGCATATTCAAATTCCGGCAATGTTTGTGTGATTTTTCTAATTCCAATACTTCTGTTGCTCGTGGGTATGCACGGTGAACGTCAATGACTATGGCAACAAGAATAGAAATTGCTGCTAAAGCCGCTATTTCCTTTGCAATAGTCGCATGTGTTGCTTGTGGATGCGGATGCAGAGATTCTCACCGTAATTCTGTTTTCTCTGGCTGCCGAGTTGTCCAGTATCTGATTCCCTTTCGGAATTTTTTTGTTCAATGCCACATTCGACGAGAACAGCCCTTTGCAAACACGGGCGTAATCCTTGTTGCGTTCGCCTACTTTCTTGT